AATTGCCTTTTGCCGTTAGACTGGCAAAATTGTTTTGCCTAGGGGAAAGAAAGAGCCCGCGTTGATTCCACAATTCCATAGCACAACTGCTAGCCGCCTTAGTATTTGCATTACTATGCCAGGCCCAACAAATTTTTTTCTTTAACAGCAAACTATTGGCAACTTTTTGTGGCAAGCAAACGCGTGGAAAATGCGCGTTTCCGTTTGCATTTTCAGCACAAAAAGGAAGCAGCGGGAGGTTAACTATAAAAAATACACTCCGAAAAGAATAGAAAACGGAAATACTTTTGTTGTTTGCTGCAACTGCGCGCAAAACCATTTTCCATGAGCCACTTGAGGATTTCATTTGAAATTCTGTGAAAGGCATTTTTTGCTGTGTTTGCTCGTTCTTGCGGTTATTTTTTTTAGCCTAAATTGGCCATAAATTGACTGGAGTATGCATAGAAAATAAGTGGCGCTTTGCTAGTTTAGCTGCTGCATAAATTTATGTTGCACCTGAGCTTCGGTTATTCTTTAGCTAGTACAATAAATAAATATTGCAGTGCCTGACAAGGTGTACTTTGAGTTGGATACATAAAATACGTACATACATATGTGTGCATGTGTGTAAGAAAGCAAATTTAGAAAAAAATTAGTTTCGGACTGGCAAGTCACCAGTTGTTCACTGGTACGTGCACCACCGGATTAGCTAAGTTGGGTAAAGTAATCGTTTTTGCAGTGATGTGTGAATTTGCTAAGAAAAGAGCAGCGATAGTAAGATTAGATTTGTTAGAGTACATTGGGTCTATAGCGCCCTCAGCGCTCATCATAACACATCGTCCAGCGCAAGCGCTCTAAAAAATTCAAGCAGTTTCGAGGGCGGCAGAGAGTAAATATGCGTAACCTCTGGCTACATCATTCCCAGGTGTGTCAGCCTTCTTACCGCATTGGGATTTCTGGTCCCATTTCGCAGTACCGACATAAAACGTCAGAACTAATCCTCAGGCTATGCGTATGGGCTCGCAGTCTACAGTCACGTTAGGTGGGACTTTTTCTTCTACTTATTTGGGGTCGTTTGTCAATTTGCGCCGCGACAAGGAAATTTAGTAAACTACATCTATCTTTTGTGGAAGTGGCGCCTATTACCTATAATTTTCATTTCGAACTTCCATTGCTTTCATGGGCGACCTGGCTTCTAATGTACTTTAAAAGTCCTATTTTTTTGTGCCTGCCAAACTGAATATGTCCTTTTCATCACTCACAGCTTATCTCGCCTTTCACCGTTTGAGTTCAGACGTTTACCACATATTAGGTTTTCCCACTTAAGGCGGCGTGCCTTAAATGAAGCTTCGCAGGTTACAGAGTCGAAGATCTTCTTGGTTCTAGCTAAAAAGTGCGATCCTAGGTATTTAGACCGTAGCCTTGCATTAGATGGGAAGCTTAAAATAAAGTTTTGCGATGACTACACCTCATCTTTATCTAAGCAGATACGGTTCGATTCAGTCTCACCGGGTAAAAACTCATCGGAGAGTGTCCCGTCAATACACCAGAATTGAGAGTTATAGCTTTGTGGGCCCAAGAAGGTCTTTTGATAGCCTATCATCAGAAAAAGCGTGCAGTTGCACATTGTCTTGTTATCGCCCTGCGCTCGCTGTCATGCAATACTTAATGCCGGGTGAAGAAAAAATACAAAGCCTCGGATGAGAACACTCTTTTTGATGACGACCACGGCAAACGATTAAAGGACTACGATTTGAGGGCATGTACCTGGAATTTACGGACCCTTAATAGGTAAAGTGCCTCTGCTCGGCTGGTTGATGCCCTCGTAAAGAAAAAAATTTACATCACTACCATTCTGGAGGAACTGGAAAAATTAGCTGTCAGGTGATCGCTCTAGGTGGGCGGCCAATTGCGTTCTCGCAGCCCAGCAAGACGGAACTGGTTTGGTTTACACGGAAGTATATAGTCCACGATGTATCTGTCTGCAGCTCTCCGGCAGGACAGGACAGGACAGGACAGGACAGGATAGGAATCTGTAATGGAAACCTAATATTGAGGAAAGGGCAATAACGGTGTCGGTTGTCTTATACTGCAGCATGGGGGTTTATTGGTATGACGTGGGGTCTCTGGCCGAAAGCAAGTGATTTGCTCGATGGAACCATAGCTAAGCCTATTTTGTTCTACGGAGTCCAGTTGGCCAAGGTCTGATTTTCGCACAAAATATGCCCTTACGTCTCATTGTCCTCCAGACAGAGCTGGCATTCTGAGTCTGTAGTCAACTGATTTTATGAGTATGGACCTTGTAAAGAACGGAACTCTTGAAACGTTATCCCCGCGTATGGATCAGCTAGGGACGCCTTGGTCCTCCTTCGGTTCTCTATTGAACGGTAGGGCCTCATTTAGGCTCAGCGACCGGTGGAATAAAACTAGAACATGCGCAATTGAAAGATCCTTGATCTTTCTGGCCTGGGGTAATCAAAGGAGATTCCTGTGCTTGCAAAGTCTCGAGTCTCGCTATTGGTTGGTTATGCCATTGTGCAATTGGTATTCATGCGGTAAGGTTATCATTCTCTCCTGATCCCTTTTGTATCAGCGGTAAAGAGGGTGATGAGGTGGAAGCATCTCAGCATTTATATTAGATTGCCAAGCCTTCGCAAGGCTAAAATGGTTAAAATTTTGGCTCGCAGTTTATCATTGAGGAGCTCTCAGGCATTGGGATTAGCCGCATTCGTAATTTCAAAATCGGAGCATGGCGTTTCGCCGACTCAATGGTGTCCGCCTTCATGGAATCACAAACTACAATCTCCTAATTATCCAAGTGCGCTCCTTGCCTGAGCAGCCAGTATAGTCTAACTTAACTTAGTCCGCTAAAAGTTTCTTCACTAAGAGTAATCGGTAATAGTGGACACAGTCTAAAACTCTCCGTCTAGAATTATGTGTGAAAAGGCAGGGCTAAGTACTGTAATTGTAATTGAAATGAGCTTTCCATGTCCCAGTCGAAAGTGCAGTACATTCAGAAGAATATTTATTATAATCGTACAAGTTTCCACAACATCACTAACAAAAAATATTTTCCTTCTCCTTCATTACAGTAATCGACAATCAAATGTCCAAGTGGCAATTTGAAATTCACTTGCAGTTCACGCACGCTACGCTTGGCTATCAAAGAGCAGCGGCATAGTCGCACAATTCAATTAAACAACAATAAAAACGAAAACCAAAAGTCAACAACAAAATGCGCTCCTCACCCTACGCCTATCACACCGCCAACGATATGAGCGAAGATGAGAGCAACAATGAAGCGCTCGACTATCGCATGGCGGCCGCCGTGAGCTCGAATCAACATCAACAGCAACAAGAAATGGAGCTAAAATTGAAAGACATACCAGAGAAATATTTGATGGTTATTGCCCATTTCCTGGCTGGTGATTTCAACGACACCGAGGCGATGGACCATGTTAATGGGCCCATTTTGAAAGCGAGCATTAAATCTGTCTATTGGATATTCCTCATACAGTACGCAGCGCTGGCGTTGATCGGCATTGCAATGAACGTGGCCATTATAGCGTATGTGATGTACCATCGCCTCTACAAAGATGTGACGCACGCGTTCATTGTTAATTTGGCTTTGTGCCATTTTGTGCAGTGTGCGCTGGTGTTGCCCATAACGCTGATGGTGATGCTCATACAAAATTGGATTTTCGGCCAATTTTTATGCTTCTTTCTGCCGATGCTGCAGGTGAGTGTTGAGAAGAGAGCGTGTAGTGTAAAGAAGGTGGGAAGATGAAGAGAAGAATGTGTCAGATATGAAAGCTAGTTACCTTTGGTAGAGCTGAGTTGGTTAATAATAGCTGATAGGTTTTCAGTACGTGGCACTCAATCAAGCGGTTTTAAATTATTTTGATTTTCCATTTGATTACACTTAGTAGGTTGTTGTCAAAATTGTAGCATCTAAACCTTTTTACTCTTCATTTAATCCACATTTAGGTTTGTTTTGGTATGGTAGTAAGGAAGACATTTCAGTTGGTATGGGTCAGCTCGAGCCAATCTCTTTAACCCTAAGAATAGTACCAAGATTTGTAGACAATTTCAAACTCAAGTGTTCGAATTGAGTATGCAAAACAAAATTAGCTTGTGTCGTTTCGTTGAAATAGCTGGCCCTCCGCCACTGTGGGTATCACGACATAGCTTGATGAAAACCCCGGGTGGGCTGACGTACGCACGATCTGGACTCCTGACTTTTGAGCTGAACAGGAGCTGACTATAGAGCACAATTTGTAGCGAAGAGTGATAACTTCATGGTTCACAAAGCCAGCTCTGCAACCACGTAAACTTAGCTGAACTCGGGAAAAGTAAAGATCCACACAGCGACCAAATCAAGCTAAGCAAAGCGCTGGAAGTAAAGCTGCTGCTTATCCGGTGCAAAATGAACTAAGTATGTGTGTTAGATATAGGGAGCTGAAGACAGGAGGCCAAAATACCTGAGTGTGATGAACTGCTGGTTGCCAAGAATAATGCATGGAAATTACAAGCAAATGTGCCGTGAGTTACGGAAGGTTTTGAGACCGTGACAAGTTGCTTGCAGAATAAGAGTGGCACACCGAAAGCATTTCTGTCGGCTGAAGTTTAGATGGGATCTGTCTAACTAAAAAGAAAGACGGTATATAAGGTTTTGCCAAGCGTTTTGCGTGATAGGCCTTTAACCTCCCGTTAGAGAACTGTTTAATCAGGTGTTCACAGTATGCAAAAGCTAAGACAAGTCGCACGAGAAGAGGATAGAAACTCATCATCTCTTTTCGATTTTAGAACGTCGTTAGACGTCACGAAACCGAGATTTGATTCCAATCGATAACAGAACCTTATGAAATACCTTTTATAAGAGCGTACAGACGCTGTCATGTGTCGATGACATCGACTTCGTCTACCCCAACAACCACTCCTAGTTGGATACGGAAGCTAATCGAGTAGTACCGGAAGTGAAGACGAACATGGCGATGTATCTCGTGCCTTAAAGCAAGCAGTCTGCGCATTCGAGCCTTGGCACTGCAGCGACTGTTGAAAACATCCGATTAGGCGGCACTTGGATTGTTCGAAAGAAAAATTATGCAGAATATTTACGGGCCCAGGCGAGTTGATGACGGCTTTAAAATTATTCAACGCAGTTCTCCGTAGCAGGGAAGCTGGAAGGCATATTACCCATATCAATAAGCACACCACCCTTATGTGTAAATAAAATATAACAAAATACTACTTTCCAAAAGAAGGTCAAAGAATTTTGGCACTCTATTTTCAGTGTCTTTATTGAGATTAAATAGCATCAAATTGATAACAAATCGAATCTATACAAAAAAGGTCGAAAAATTCGATTTACCTCAATTGGATAACAGAGAAGCAAATCTCGTTTGTTACATGAGCCATCTAAGAATAGTCGTCGTTTAGTGCGGATGACGTACATACAGTGACTCAAGCAAGTGTTCAGAATTTGTTCTCTACTGTGGAGGGAAACGAGGGTTGCCTCAAGGCAGGCAAGAGCAACACAGTTTTACCAAAGGAATAGAGAGAGGCCCATAAGTTTACCCTCATTCCTCCTAAAAAACGCTGAACAAAATTCGTGACACTCACATCAGGGACACTATGTCGCCAGGCATTTTTGCCAAGGTGCGACATGCGTACATTAAAGGCAAGTCCACAGAGACAGCGCTACACTCGTTAGTACAACACCTTGATAAGGCTCTGAAATACAAGGAGTATGCTTTAACGATCAAACATTTAGTAATATAATTTGAGAGGAAGGCACCCCGACGACATTACCCTACTAACAGGAAATAACCTAAAAATGATCAGTAACGTAGGGGACAACTCCCTGAAATTCATTGACCAGTAGGCATCTCGTGTAGGGCTAGGGGTTCGCACAGTCCTGATACCGGACCTGATACTCCTCACAAGAAAATATAAGGTCCAGTGTGGAGATTCTCGAGGCTGGGTGTAGCATCGGGTGGTCAATTAAAAAGCACAGAAAGTATCTGGATCGTAAGTTGCTGTGGAGGTCCAATGTTGAGGAAGCAGCGAGGGAGTTCTGGAGTTCACTTGGGGTCTATCTGCTGCCCATATGCATTGGAGCTACTCAGCATAGACAGCCGGAAACTGCTCTATGGCGCCTTGGTTTGGTGGCATGTCGCAGAAAAGTCCTCACGCACTAGCTGCTCTAACAGTAGTCTTCAATTCACCGCCCATTAACCTCATCGTGGAAAATTGTGCTCCTAAATCCGCAGCTTGATTGACGGCTATAGGAGAATTCAATTGTAGAACTTCTGGGCACAGCACAATTACGGCGAAAGGCATAGTTTGTACATTGCACTTTGCTTTCATTGGTATGAAAGTTTCGCACAACGATGGAGGAAGAGGGATGGCGCGAGGGAATGAAACCTAGCCGTAGATCCCTAAATAAACATTTTCACCGTCGGCTCTAAAATGGTAAAGGCGGTGGGTGCTGGAGTACCTGGACAGGGTAGCATATTGCTTAATCAAATCAAAAAGTAAATCAGGTAAACAGAAGACTGCATATTTATCGAGTGCCCGCCCACAAAGGAGTAGCGGGTAATGAAATAGCAAATGAGACTACCAACGGTGATGCCAGTCTGGCACTCGTACAGACAAACTACTTTCCTAGACCATTCCAAGTATTGTTTAACGCAAAACTCGACAGGATGACTAAACAGTTCGGCAGTTTAAGCAGCTAGGAATTCGCTGTGATTTTTAATTATTTTTTTGCCACTGATCTTTTGCGGTTTTTTCATATAACACCGTGCGTTCTTTTTACACACAAAAAAATATATGTATTCGCGAAATAATGGGTCAAATGTAGTTTTTCTTTCTGACTTCAGAATTTTTTTAAAGCACTTTGAAATTTGAAAAATATGATCACTTCAAAAAATTATTACAAAAATGCAGAAAAACAGTATGGGTATGAAATTGAAGATAAAATTCTGTAAATTGAAGCAGATTAAATTGTTTGGTGCATAAAGACGAGTAGGTATTGAACATGTCCTTTTAAAATTTTATCCTTGAAATTTTGCCTGACTTATTTTTGAAAAAAAAAAATCGAATTTCGGTCCCACTAAATTTATAAGCCTAAAAACTTAAAATTAATTAAAGGGGAATATTTGTCTTTGTAAACCAAAAAAAATATATTATTTTTTTAATTCTACAGAATATTCTTATACTATACTGCACTGAGTTTTAAAAAAAATTCCTTTAAGTCCTTTAAAAATATCCTGACGTCAGAGAGAAAAACTAAAAACGCAGTGTTTTATATTTTTTCCATAGTTTCGTGAGTATAAGTATTGACTGTTTCGTGTGTTTCGAAACTTTTTGTTTTGACGCACGGTGTAACAAATGCGATTTTTTAAATTTTTAAGAAATTCACGTTTAAATGGAAATTGTGCAAAAAACTTTCAGCAAAAAACAAAAACACATTCCCAAAAATTTTCTAAAAATTCATATTAAAAAGTTCGAAATTTTGATGAAGGATATTTTTGTTTTACTTTATTCTAAATTTTGTAGGAATTTTAAAAATTTAATTTATATGGGTTTTCTTAAAGCACAAACAATATTTTTAGTAAAAATAACGAAAAAAATCAACATCCGCGCTACTGTTTAAGTCACTGTAAATTACACAAACATAATAAATGTTACGTATACGCTATGTTTGGCTCACATTTCGCACATCCTGGCATATGAAATAGAAAAGTGCGTATATTATATTTGACAGCTGGTAGAACTTTGCTATTTCTTATTTTCGCTGATTTTTCATTTTTATTATTGAGACACTTCAGTGACACTTTTATGTAGTACTTAGACGCAACCAGATTACTCACATACCACCATAAACTCAAGTGAGGTACCTATAATGGGAATAAGTGGATCTTTTTTGCTGCCGCATAAAATTGAGCTATATCCCTGAGTATTAAACTGGTGCTGAAATAAAATTCCATTCTCACGCCATCTATGTACCTTAATTTGGTTTCCCACTGTGACAGTCACATTGTACTAGTATGAATGACCGACCCACAGCCAACATGGCTGGCAGGCAGGCTTGTCAACAGATTTTCATGAATTATTTTTTTTTTTGTTTCTTTGTTGTTTAATATAGCATATTGTTAGCACACTGTCAAACACATACACAAAATTGGAAACATAAAATTTATTAAAACTCGGTTTTGCTTTCGCTACTTTTACTTACAGTTGCCTTCACACCCCCCCCGTCCATATTGGTTGCCATGACACTCGCAAGCACCTCACCTTTATCGATGCTATTCATTAGCGATAATTGCTTTCATTTTCTGCACATTTTGTTGTGAGAGTAGCGTTTGTGTTGTTGGAATGGCAAATAATATCGTAAATTAAATTAATACACTTTCTTTGTTATCAATTGCGCGCGCGCACCCTCCTCTATAATTAAAATTGATCACAAATTTTAATTTTGATTTTGTTCTCCAGATGCACAGTGTGGCCGAATCCCAAAAGTGCGGCCGTAATTCGAGAAAATAAAGTTTCTAGATAGGCCTTTTTTGACATTGAGTTGGCTTAAGGGATCACCTAAGAAGCGAAAAGTGTTCACTCTAACGACCCGTACCCTAAGTCCTCTCTTTATATTTATTTGTAGTGTGACCGAAAAGTTATTAACTTATAAAGGTAGTTAGATAATAGGAAATCAAACAAAACCAAATGGTTTAGTAAAATAAGTTAAAAAAATGTTAAGAAATAAAAATTTAAAGGTATTTTTTCGTTTGTTTTTAAACAAAATTTCAGTTGTGAAATGTAACAGTAACAACACGCTGTCGGATGCTGCCTATAAACCTATTGGACTTTACGTAAAAATGTATTAGCTACAGAATAAAAGAAAAAATTCAGGTGCTCATTTCTGCTCCTTATATTCATTAAGATTTTGAGTATGAAGTTTCGTGCCACATTAAATTTAGGTGAAACAAAGTGCAAGTTTAAAGAAGCTGGGACTTACGGTTGATTTTTGGCATTTTTTTTTTGTTGAAGGTGTTGTGCAATTTTCTTCATATTACTACGTATGGAGAAAATGACTGACACCGTCAACAAAAAAAATTGTCAAAAATCAACGGTAAGTCCTAGCTGCTTTAAACATGGACTTTATTGTACTAAAATTGAATGGGCTATAAAACTGCATACTCAAAATCTTCTGAAGAAATCTAATTAAAAAGCTCCAAATTTACTAGACGCCATACTGATCCGCCTTTTTGAATTTTGCAATTCTGACAGCGGATCGGTAATTGGTGACCCCGGAAACCCCCTAGTACGAAATTTCAACTCATTATTTCAAAGCTTAGAATTTTGGCCACACTTTTGGATTTCGGCCGCGCTGTGAGACGCCACTATCCGATTTGTATGTAGAATCGCTCGCTGATTCCGAAAATCGAGTTAATTTTGTTTTTTAATGGATACGTTTTCAGTTATTTGCAATTCACCGTTATTCAGCTTAAAAAAGAAGTGGTTCCACTTAATCGGGTATACATATATGCCACGTACACCTGAGTAGATAGAGTGTTTACATCCAAAACAAGAGGTGTCAGAAATGATTAACTAATTTCTCAGAAAATATCAGGGCTATCGAAAAGTGATGTATATACGGTTTATGAAGAATTTAATTTTCTTTCATTTTCCGTATCTCGTATTACGATTATTCAATTAGTTAGTAAAATATACATGATTTAGTGAAACCACTATTAAAGCTGAATAACGGTATATCTCGAAAAGCTATCCATAGAAAAAAAAATGTATCTCGATTTTCGGAATCACCGAGCAATTCTACATAGGAATTGGCTAGTAGCAACCATAGAATATTTTCGCTGTAAACCAGTGTTATTATCATAATCATTGTGCGTCTTTGCCAATGGCACTGAAATTTAATAACAATCTGCTCTTCTGTTTTTGTTATTTTTCCGGTTTAATGAAGTGAAAACGTTCCTATTGAAATGGTAAATAATGCAAAATATGGCGTTTTGCCGAACACGCCATTATTCAGCCAACCGATTGCCATTTTAATCACTTTACTCCGTCAGCTTTTGCTATTGCTATTGACAACAGATTGAATGTAGAGTGTGGGGGCAACGCTTCATTTCCTGAAATTCGTTATTATCTACAGTCATCGTTGAGCCATATTGCTGTCATCATTTTACAAAGCTGTCGTAGGCTAGAAAGCTTTGCGCTTTGTAGCTACAACTTTTCGTTTGCAGTTTGTGTGCGCGATTTCGAGAACACATGTAGATGAAAATTAAAAAATTAACAAAATATTATTCTTACACATAGTAGCAGGGAGATGGCTACTTATGGAGATGTTTTGCTAAAAACTTGCAATCAGTTGGTGTTCTATATCATAGAAAGGCAACTAAAGTTGCTGCAAACTTTGGCCATGGCTTTGAATGTGGAATTCTCACAGCACCCTCAGGAGCTTTTAGATTTATTTACTTTATCAGTTATCTAAGCTGATGTTTTTCCAAAAAAGTTAACGCGCATTTGACCGTTAATGTTAATGAAAAACAAAAAAACCTTTACAAAAAAACAAATAATATCAGGGATGAATTGAGACATACGTTATAGCTTTAACTTATGTACTTATACAGACACGCTAAGTATAATAAATAAAACAAAGTCTTTTTCGTATAAAAAATTAAAATTCGAATTTCATTTAAGGAAGTGAGCTAATGAGATGTACATTGGATTATTTATTAAGTTACGGTAGGTAGAAAGATAAAGTTATCAAGGTATGCATAGAAAAACAAATCGTCACAAAGTTCGCCAAAGTTTTTGAATGCATAACTGTATCTTCTATTTGTGTACATATTTTAAACCAATAAATATCGACGATGACGTGGCCAAAATGTTGCGCATTAAATTTACGGCAACCGCCACACCGTGCCGCATAATCGAAATAAGAGCTAGTTAAAAACAATTATGGAGTTCCCCTAAAATGAAAAAAATTGCAGATGAAAATTTTGGATTTTTCACTATTTTTTTACATTTTATTTCTAGAATTGTTTAAGGTATGCACTTTATAGCATATCAATTTCTAGTATAATAATATGCAAGTTTCAAGTGAAAAAAATTTTTTTTGCTGATATATCGACACATTTCTGTCTTCGGTAATTTGAATAAAACAAATTCTTAAATTTTTACATTTATGTACATATAAAAGTGAACGATTTGCTAACTAATAAGTTAATATTTGTTCACTAATTAATTTAGTTATTCCTACTGCTTCGTAGGGTAGCCAGCTGAATTCGTAATCGAAGTGCAGTTGCAAAAATCGTCGATTCCAGTCGAGTTCGTTCCAGTAAGATCAAAAGTGTTTCAAACCATCTGGCGACTAGTGGTATCAGGGCAGTAAATTTGAAGGAAACTCTTCGATGGTTTCCGCCTTAAAAACTAATCAACAATTTGGGTAGGAATGAGGTACTAAGCTGCGAAAAAAATTAAAAAAAAAAACAATCCACCATCCAAATTTTGCGAGAAAATTCCTTTTTTTTATTTTTCTCATCGCCTCTTCCTAATTTACATGTCTTTGGGGTATTTTTTTTTAACTATTATTGCTAATTTTTTAAGTACCAATTTAATGTTAAATCAATTATTATTTTTTTCAAGAAAATTATTTAAAATTTAAAAATATTCGTGCTATATTTACGGTAGTGTAAGATAAATTTAAATTTATTCGTCAATGTCGGAAATCTCGAAAAAACTTCAGTTTATACATACTAGGAAGTAATTCAAGCAACAGAAAGCTAGTCTAAAAAGCTGTAATTTACAGTTAAAATTGTGAATATAGAAACATTGGTCCCTCGAAGAAAGCAGGGTTATTTTGGAATAATGAGTATATTCACACAAAATTAGATCTTTGTGGCCATACCCAGGCGAATGCTTACTTATTGCAGTAACGTCGCACACACATACATACAGACATACACACAAGCATAGCATGTATCAGCTATTTTTAATTGCGGCTAAAAACTTTAGCCATTAAAATCTGCACTCGAGATTCGCTTGTGTGGCAGATATTCAAAAGTTTGCGCCTTGAAGGCAATTATAAACAGGAAGTTGGACGAATTCACTGACATGGCAACACATGAGAGGCTGTTTATGGAGTGCGATAAACATATGTATGTATATAATACACTTGTATGTACACGAGTAAAATCAAATACACATAAAAATACTATGTAAAATGCTAATTTTTGTGCAGATGCTCGTATTCATAAGGTTTCAAATGTTAGTTGGAAAGTTACTATGGGCAACTAGAAATATCAGACAAATTTAATTGAAAAGTTTTCATAATGATAATTGAGATAAATTTAGCTTGATTACGAAATAGAAAAGTGCGAGTGATAATTAGGAAACTTTTATTCGAGTACGCCCATTTGTTTTTACGGCTATTCCAAATAAAACGATTCGATTTGGCTAAAATTTTGCGCACAGCCTAATTTCATAATAGCACTAACAGAAATTGACTTAAAAATTTTTTAAATATTTTTTTTTTTTTAATTATTAAGGTACTAAGGAAGATCGTAGCTTGATTCATTACCTTTGCAAAGTCACCTGAATTTATTGGAGTTAGAGCAAAAAATAGTGAATTTATAAAAAATTTGGTTCATCCAACATTACTGTTTTATTGATACATATTTACCACACCCATAATTTGTAAGTAGCATTTTTTTTAGTCTATTTCTGACAGTTTTAGTATGAAATTAGGCTGTGCGCAAAATTTGAGCCAAATCGAAGGCCATCACCCAGAAAATCACTACCTTTTCTTACATTTAGTATAGAATCGCCGTAAACATAAATAAATCGTTTTTATTTAATAAAAATGTATATTTTTCTCTCTCTCTTCTCCCATAGGATATACCGCTGCATGTGGCCATGATATCGCACATTCTCATCGCTTGGGACCGCATGCGTTGGCTGAGTGATCCATTACAGGGCCGGCTGCCTGCATTTGTTTGTTGCTGTGCAACTTGGCTGACTGGCATGGTGATTGCGTTGCCTTATCCCATCTATACAATCTATGTGGAATTGGGGGTAGGTATACAAGATGATTCTTGTTTCCACTTATTAACTTGTTTGGCTATTTATATGTATTCAATTGGAAATATTTGGTGACTTGTGTACGAAAAGAAATGGAGAGTGGGAGAGTGAGGAAAATAAAGACTTTTTTAGTAAAAGTTGTAATGTGATAACCAAAAAAATAGTTGAAAAGTTTTGCACTTTTTTGTGTGCGCACAGTTAAGCAATAAATGCGTAAGGCATACTATCTGTAAGTCTTATATTGTTGGTACAAGTGCTGAAAATATTGTGGTTACAAAGCGCCAGAGTATCGATGAATTGCGTGGTGAGTTTTGATGTTAATTTTTTTATATATGTACATACATACATATCTATACATATTGTGTCTTATGAAAAAACCACAGAGGTTCTAAACCAATGGAAATGTGAAGCTTTTTAATTTATTTAAATTACTAAAAATTATTAAAAGATTTGGAAAATAGCGATGAAACCGTATTCAAAAGTAAGCAAAGTCTGCTACCTACATTTCAGTTCGAATGTTGCGTATACGCCATGCCGATACTGGATTTTTTCATAGTAAAATCAAAATGTATTTTTTTGTTTGTTTAAAATATTTACGATATGATCATTAGAGAGCTGAAGTTTTAATGGAAAAGTTTTGATTTTCCTTTCCAAAGACTCTTTGTTGTTTAATGTAAATAATTCACCCAATAATTTCCTTTGAAAAATATATGAAAGATTATATTAGTTATAAGGCCGGAAGGCGAGACAAAAAAGGCATTGAATGGTTAAGAGGCTGAAAAAATTGGACTGTAAGAAGATGATACGCGCGCAATGTAAATAAACCTATACAAGCACATATGCTCACTTTCCTTTGTACCTGCACCTACATTTTTATATTCACTTTTCAAACACAAAGCCGAAAGATTTTTCATTTAAAGATCGATGTCCAGTTTATGAATTACCAAAAATTATCAAAATTTAACATAACACTATGCTTAGTTTTCAAAATATAAAACAAGTAAAAGAATTTTTAATTAACCAAAATTTATGTTAAGTTTTCAAATTCTCAAAAATTGATTTCGGGTTTTTAATATATTTACTAATTTTTTTTTGTACTTTCGAGCATTCAATTAGAGTTCGAAATCTAGACGTATGTACATATATTGGAATTCATTACAAGAAAAAGTAGTAATTAAAAAAAATTTTGGGTATTAATGACTAATGCGATTCTTGAACGGAGAATTGTTGAAACTCGAATCGTCAATAAAAAATACAGTATGCATAAATATTTGTGTAATTAAATAGTGGTTTGATAATAATAAAATGGAGAAAGATATACGTCGGATACCTTCTAAAGATGGCATAGTGTTCATAAAAAATATGAATTCCTTACCAAGTCGCATCGAAAAGTATGCTTCAGTAAATCACAATTACTTTTACCTTTCCTACTTTGCCTCCCTGCCTCCGCTTTTAAATATCCTGCCATCTCAAACGCAAAATAAAAGCAGCATCCATTGAATCTTATTGCAAAAACAAAAATGTTCAAAATTTCATTGTTATTCGTTTATTGTTTAAAATAACAAGGGATTTGATTGAACATCCGACCTGTCGGGTTAGGTGTGTTTCTATTTTTTCATTGCTTTATCTGGTTAATCCAATTTTCTCCATCCATGTCTAAAATTTGACATTTATTGCTGTCAATGTTTGCCATTATTCGTTACTTGGAGTAAATAAGATAAATCCAAAAATAAATAAACAACATTACGTGGACGAGTGTTGAAATATATACATACATACCACATTCCTCTTTTGTATTTGCTTTCTTACACTGTGAATTGTGCTGACAAATGAAAAAAAATATATCACAATATATATGTGAGTGCTGATAGAACAAATACACTCATTTGTATGTAGCACCACTATTTGTAACAACTCAAAAAGCATCCATAGCTTTATCTCTGAATTTATGGCAAGGTTTTTGACATCGTAAAAATATGCATCAAGTGCTTGATGGACTTATGTATTTGCGCATGCAAGCTGCCCGCATATTCGTATTGCATAAAATAAACGGAAGTGTGTGAATTTATGCGATGGGCTATGTTACCAAAAAATATACATTAGAAAATTTTAGGAATATTTAGGGATCAAAAAGTGTGACATTTACCAGCGACGAGATTTTCTTCTATCTGCATTCTGATATGACTGAGTACTAGCTTTTGCCCGCAGCTAAGCG